CCGGAAGTAGGATTCGTCACGTCATCACTTAACGACCAGATTGAACGTTTTCACAGCAGATGTTATCAGATATCTTCTTCTGGTTTGGATTTGCTGCCATTTATCCAGATTACATCGCTCAAATTGAATTAATCAATTAAAATCTGCAGGATTTAATTAAAGTGTCAGTACATTATATGTCTGTTATTTTTGTCCTTGTGGCTATAAACAGATGCTTGCTGTGCTGTTTGGGGGTAAAAAGCTAAAATGGCTTCTTAAAGCCCCTTTTTGGTAACAAGCTACTTGGTGAGCTGCAGGTCACCTGAACGCAGCGAGTAACAGCGGCGAAACAGTGCATACGTTTTTAAGGACTGCAATTACTCTTCACACACATTTGAAGAGAAGCACTTATGCTAGTTTTTGTGTGTTTTAAGTGACACGCTGTCTGCCAAGGGGTGCGAGAAACAACAGCTAAGACAGGAAGCAAATTCGTTCAACATCCGACTGGTCTGCCACAGAGTGGCTGCACACATGCACTCCATAAATCAGGCGGCAGGGACAGACCGTTTTAAAATGTAAGGACTGTGTGTGTGGGGGTTGTGTGTAATGCTGCAGGCAGTGTTAACATCAAGCAAAGCATGCAAAACTTGTAGATCCTTGCATGGCAAATACTTTTAAAATTTAAAAGTTAGGAAAATTACTTTCCAGGGAGATGGATGTGAAAAACTGAACTGTGTCTGGCCGATGTGGGTGCAAGAACAGTGGCTTTTCTTAAAGGAGCCGTTTTAGTCCAAAATCATATGTGCACATTTTTCTTCTGGCCTTTTGTGCCGTTTGTTTGTCTTTACCGTTCTGGTGCTCAGCATTGGTCTGGAAGCTTGTTTTCTCCACTGAAAAACACTTTTTCCCCATCTATGAGTCAAAATGTTCGGGCGTCTTCTTTATAAGTCAAATTTTCAACTTCTTTCCCTGTAAGTTTGAATTAGTACGTTGAAATTTTGAGATACTTAACCTCAAATTTACACTTACAGATGGCACAAAAATGTGTTTTTCCATTGAGGAAATATGCTTCAATAGCTTTGGAGATACCTCCACACACATATTATGTATTCATCTTTGTCTTCATTTGTATTTTCTGTTATTTAATCACTGTTTTATGTTTTCATTTTTGCACTCTCTCACAGTATAAGGCCCTCACACTGAGCTTCTGGCACTTTTACTTTAAATATGTTGTTTAAAAAGTATTCTGCATAATTTTTATTCTTTATCCTGCTCCTGTAGACAAAAAAGTGGCATGAATAAAGTACCTATATACCAATTTAATTTCCTGCTTTATTTTGAAATTCCTTTTCTTGTTTTATTGCTGCTCCTTCCTTCCTGTGTCCCATCAGCTAATTACGCAGCGAATGTATGCATAACCTTACAGCTCAAGCTTAAAAGTTTCAGTGATTCTGTTGTACACGCTGACCTCTGTTTTCTCCTTTGCTGAATTTTTTTCAGACCCTCTGTGCAACCGCAACCCTGATCAACAAAACCGAGATGTGGACTTTTATCCTGTGTACCTTTAAATCCAGTTTTCAGTCCATTATTTGGTTCAGCCACTACGCTGCAGAAAAGTCTGCCTTGTCTTGAATATAATGGAACTAAAAGCCCGCTACCTTGTGGTTTAAAAGTGCCAGAAAAAAGTATTTTAAAAACTCAGCAGCAGTAATGTTCCCACACAAACTCTGCAACACTTTTGTAGGCAGGCACAGAGACACTTTCTCCAGCATGTGTTTCAGCCCTGATGTCACAAGGACGGAGACATAAAGACCTGCTTCACAGCCTTTGTTACATTTTTACACATTTATCTCCTTTTTGTAACAAATATTCCATTTGTATAACTTTCTAAATCATGTAACACATTAATATAACAACTTCTGGGTTTTCGTCTGCGTCCACACTATCGTTTCAGTCGTCCACATTTAAACGGCCGAAAACTCTCAAGTTCCGGTCCTGCGCATGCGTGAAACGCAAGACGATTCGACCTGCCTCATTTCTGTCTGCCGTTTATAATGCCCTTCGCTATCTTAGTTTAATTGGTCACATGACTGCATCACATGACTAAAATGTGTCATAGTTTTCGAAAAGGCTCCGGGTTTGCTGTCCACACCGCGACACAAAAACGGCGTTTTCAAATGTATCTGCTTTGGAGAGCGTTTTCAAAACGCTGCGTTTTCCTTGACCGAAAACGCCGTCTCAGTGTGGACGGACAGCCAAAACGGAGAGAAAAAGATGCGTTTTCAAACGAAAACGTATTAGTGTGGACATGGCCTCAGGGTTCAGTATCCTAGCCAAGGATACTTCAACATGCAGACTTGACCTATGACCTCGAGTTCACTGAAATAGACACTAATACTACCTGTGATTACAAAAAATACATAAAAATCCTAATAATAATAAAGGCGTAACCATGTTTATTTTATCATCATTAATATATGTTTTACAATGTTACCGGTACAGCGATGTTACCGTGAGCGCTGCCTGGTGATTTCTGGAAACCGGCACTGACTCTGAGTTTTTCTAATAGACTTTTTAGGTGATTTGATGACCACAAGGTGAGTACCATCTAGTTTCATTATATTCAAGTGAAGCTCGATATGACTACAAAACTCACACCAAAACCATGCAGGTGGATACATTTCGATACAAGCCAAAGGAAAACACATACATGTGATGTCAGGGTGAACTTCTACATGAAAGCGGACACCACACACTTTTAGAAAATCAGCTTTCAGGTTTGCAAGGTTGAGTATTTTGCACTTGAAAGACACTGGGGACCCTTTCGAAGGTGAACATCTGTTACATTTAAAATCCACTGCAGTAGAGCAAAAAGTGTGTTTTTACTTTCGTGTTTTGTGCAGGTAAAAGTGTAAAATTAAAGCTGCTGTTCATCCATTTATTGATCTGAAAAATCACTGATGATTTCTGAGATCAATGCAAATTCCGCAGGTGAGTGTGTGGTTCCTCCTCTGTGTTTTGAGCTGACCTCGACCAGGTGGTTGTCGGGACCGTACAGGTCTTTATCCAGCTCGATCACCAGGCTCTTGAAAAACGAAGAGAATTTCTTCTTCTGCTTCCCCGGCTGCAGAGCAAACAGATAGCAATCAGAAAGACGTCGGTTAAGACCCATAATCAGTCACACATATGCATGAAACACTCATAAGCAGATTCAAAAACGCAAACTACTGTTGCCATGTCTTTGCTTATAGCAACATTACTCATCAAAAACCCACGAGAGGCGGGGTGAGATCAGAAAAAAAAAGAAGATGCAAGACATTCTCAGAGTCCACTTCCTCCGAGCTCAACCAGAAATATTTGTGGTCTGTGAAACCTAAATGCTTTGTGCCGCTGCTCTGAGAACATCAGAGCTTTTTGCAGTCAAGCTCGCGGCACAAGAAAAATGCAAAATCCTTCTGCTTTTAAGACACTCGCGGTCCCTCAAGACGCTCTTCTCAACATCAGTCGTTCATTTCATATTCTGAGCCAGACGATACTTTTCTGTCCGTAGTCGTTTGAGCGCATCATTACCGAGCCGAAGACAACCAAGAGCAACTCCAAGATCAAAGAGCGGCACACTTTAATACCAACCGGGATGATTTAGATGTGTTATTATTTTAGAGGACAAGCAGTTATTTGACTCATGCTAAATTCATCTACACCCAGCCGTGAAGGCTCAGTATTCAGTTATTTTCCTTTAAAAGAAAGGACTGTATTAAAACTAAACCCATGCATGACTATGAATAAAACAAACTCACATCATCCAGCAACTTCCCTTCTACTCGCAGTTCCCATGACGCAATGCTGCCATCAGAGTCATCTGCATCAGGTCTGGCAGGGTTGAAGGTGTTGGAAATGTAAAGCCTCAGTTTACGCTTCTGCTGCTGGGACAAGGGCACGACAATAACACAGTTTAAAGGGAGATCTCTGTCTGTTCCTCTTTGAACTGCAAAACTATCCTTAAACAGCATTTTCTTGTTTGTCACGAGTCCTGATTTCTTTTCGATACCTTCATTGGCCTCTTCAGGGCCTCCTGGATGTCCACGCGTTTGCGCATGATGGTCTGGTCCAGCTTGCGCTCAAATGCAAGCAGGTCCATGTAGGCCTGAGACTCAGGGACCAGCTCACGGATCTGCTCAGAGGGAGGAAAGGCTTAGGTTAAAATCAGATAATGTTTCACACCCTGGATTAAGAAGTAAGATTTTCTTTGCATATCTAAATAGCACTAAAGAACTTAAGCTGATAAGCTGTCTATTCTGGTGCGGGTGCTGGTAGGGGGTCTGTTGTCTACTTTAGCCCCTTACATTCAGTATCCTGTAATTTAACCTTTAAGCAGCTTTAAGGTTAGAGAAAAAAACCCATAGTATTCCACTCTAACTTTAAATATGGAGAAAATATGGCTATATGGCTAACTGCTAGCATAAAACAACACTACAAAAATGAGAACTTTAAAGAAAGCCTCCAGAAAATACAGCTAACTGCTAGCGTAAAACAATACTGCAGCTTATCATATAAAGTGATAAAAAAAAAAAACACACAAATGAAGATAAGAATAGGTGGGAAAGAAATGAAGTTACCAGATTATGAAAAACAGCACTGAAGCTAGTTAGCTAAGAGAGTGAGCTCACTTGCAGCTAATGCTAATGCACGGTCATTCTAAGGCTTTAAGTATCAGGACAATCATCTGGTCTTTATCAGTTCTTAAGATTGAAAAAATACAACCTTAGATGACCAACACATTACCTGTGATACCTTTTAATTATTTATTTAACAAAAACCCAAAATGGAGAAGCAATGTGTGAAAAACTAAGTACATCCCATAAGTCAGTATCTTGTAGAATCAATGTTAGCAGCGATAATTTGAAGTAACTGTTTTCTATATAACGTTATCAGTCCATCATATCCTTGTGGTTGAATTTTGGGCCACTCCTCTTTACAGTGTTGCTTCATTTTAATGCGGGCATTTGATTATGCACAGCTCTCTTAGCATCCCTCCAGGACATTTCAGCCAACTTGGGGTCTGAACTTTGACTATTACATCACCTTGAGTAATGATGTTAAATTTGGCTTTGCAAATGTAACATACACAGAGCACACATCCTAACTGTCTGAACCTCTAAATTATTTAAAAAGTATTTTACATTTTTAAAAGGTTTGTGCACTATAGGGCTCTTTTATATGAAAATTAGCAAGTACAATTTTTTATTATCTGACTGTATTTGTACATAAAGTTGGCATCTTTTTAGAGTACTTAATGTGTTTTATAAGCTTTTCTTTTGCAAACGAACTGAAGCTGAAGTTCATTATCCCCATTGAATTTGAATTAAGGAGTGGCATGACAATGAAATATTCAAACAAAGCACAACTATCCTGAATGCACTCCACCACTGCTCCACAGTCTCTCATTATCGTGGTGGTCCACACCAGCCTTGTGACACCAGGGGATCAAAATTAGATGCAGGCCGTGCAGCCAAGCAGCCAGGAGTCTCAGGCATTACCATACTGATGAAAGTCCTCGGAGCATCAAGGGCTGCTGCTCACCAAGCTGGGCACACATGCTCCTACGGTTCCTCCCTCCCTCTTCGTTCACGTTTCTTTCTAAAAGGCTGCCTTCATTGTGCTTCTCATTCCTCCTCTATCTCCATCTCGCTCCCTTTCACCGGGCCGAGGTGCCAAGCTGACGGAGGAGTGTGGCAGACATTCCCCGTGCCTGACTCATTATTGTGTAGTGGCGCCCCAGCCGTGCCTGCAGCTATCTCCCCGTCTGGGCTATGTCAGGGGATAAGACCTAACCTCTCAGTCTCCAGATCTGCAAAGCCCTCTGTGTGCTGGCCAGGACGTGGCGTGGCACGGGGCCGAAAACCGAGAGCACGGGATGCAAACCACAGCCGGCACGGACTCTCACCTGTGGCAGCATGGTGTTTCTGCTGCCTCCTTCAGTTTTACTTGTGGTTGCGTCTTTTCAACATCCCGCTGACTACGCCGATTCAAAAAAGAAAATCAATGAGCCGCTGTCCAAGCAGCAAAATGAAACCCTAAATAAAAAAAGCCCCAAAACCTTCAGATCTGTTCCCCTCATCCTCCCTCATCTCATTTGGAAATAACAAATAATCACCTGGCCCTCTGCGCCTCCCAAGAACCCCAAACATCAAAAAAACGACCGGGATTTTTTCTGTGCAGCGCACAAAGGATAAAAAACATACACAGAGAAAAACACACAGCAACAAAGGTAAAAATATGCAGCCTCACCCTTTGCGGAAGAATCTTGTCTGCCATTTTCCTTCTCTTAGCACTAGAGAGAGAGGGAGAGAAAGACAGGGAGAAAGAGGGAAAAGAGAGCATGTTACTATGGTGACTGATAGCGTAGCACCCAGGCCATCTGCTAAAATGCTGGGCCATATCCAGCACCCCAGCGTCCCAGCTGTGTGTGTGCGTGCGTGTGTGTGTATCATGTGTTTGTGTGTTCCCTGAGATGCAGCGGTACACCTGGAGAGCGAGAGCCTCTAACAGCCAAAAAAGTGTCACATCTCACATCTCTTCCCTGACATGTATTCACTGCACACACACACACCTTCTGCAGAATCGCTGAGGCCGCCGCCGCCGCTGCAGGACTCGGATGGTGACAGGATGTGTGCTCACGACTTTTCAGGATTTATGCGCGTGTGTGTGTGCAGCTCGTTAGATTCATTAATTCCTTGCAGCGTGAACACACTTCATATATTTTACTTACCAAGAAAGGGCTAAGAGCAACAAGAACATCTGTGCCAAGTTGTCAGAACTTTCTTTCCAGGTGACGCTGATTGCAAAAACATCACTACAGCTTCCTACACTCCCCCAAGATTTCCTTAAATATTTAATCATCTCCCCGTGTAAAGTGCTCTGTCGTCGATGCCTGCAGGAGGACGCTGCCTAAAAACAACAAGACGGCACTACACTGCAAAAAGAGCATAAAACGAAAAATAAAGAAATAAACTCATCTCACGAGGACGGATCATTTCAACTCACTTTTCTCATTAAAGATAATAAATAATCTTGCCTGTAGGGTGTTACGTCCTCGGGGCGATTCGATTAATTTGTAATCCCGTTTTAGGATATCAAGAGCCAAACTGAGCTGAGTTCTTTTTAAAGCTGAATATTTTGATTTGCTTCCTTGCTAAGAGTTACATTAGAAGATGGAGTGGTAAATATAGACAGCCGGGCTTTGGTTGAGATTAGAAACAAAAAAGGTTCACTAATTAACCACACTGTGGTATTATCTCTCATAATCAGCTGTTTTATGTTTATTTAAAGGCCTTCAAAGTGCACTATTGACCCCTCAATGACCCCTCAAGTTCATAAGTAAAGGAGGTATCAACCTGAAATGTTGAAAAATGGATTTAAACAGTTAAAACCAGCAACTAAATCAATTTTACTAGATACTAGATTTATTAGATACTTTCTTAGGTAGCAGGAGCGGCCGACTTGAATTCAATTTATTTACACTGATCAGCCACAACATTAAAACCACCAGCCAAAACAGTTTCGGCCCACCGGGTTACAGACAGTTGGTGTCCTGTGGGGGTTTGGCACTGGGATCCATCGGGTCCTGTCAGTTACTGGGTGGAGGCTGCTGCCGTTGGGGAGTGCCCACGTCAGGTTTGAGTTTCATGGCGTTAATGTTGTGGTTGATTAGTTTACACTGTGATGACATTTGAGTTTCAAGGAAACAGTCCAGTAAGGAATCAATTTAACAGATTAAAGGATTAACTGATCACACAAATCTAAGTACAGATTGATTTTTCCATAATTACAGGAAACTTTAAGAGTTTAAACACTACAGGATCTCTGAAACTTTGCAGTGTGTTTTGAGTTCTCGCCCAGCTCTCTCTGTGGGTGGAAATTTCTCTAGTTAGTTAGATTATTTTTTGTATCTAGAAAAGATTTTTTGCAGTGTAGTGAATTTTTCTGTCACAGTGCACTACAACGGTCTGTGAAGCAGTATGTTACATCAGCATGCCAACTACTGAAACAAGACTGCTGCAAGGAGAATTGAAGGATCCGGGAGTGCATTGGAAAGGGGAAAAAAACAAAAGAAACACAAAACAACTCGCCATTTTACACTCTCTTAAAATGGTTTGAGACTGGATTTCTATTCTATTTATTTTTCTGCTCTAGCTGCACAAAACCGTTCCCATCATGCCATGCTCCAGCCCAAAGCATGCACCACTACATTTCAGGAGTCGGCTTCTACGACCTCTACGTTTGTTTTCTCATTCAGGAAGTGCTGGGCTCAGGTGAAAAGGCAAGAAGGAAAAAAAATAGGCCAGAGTCATCAAACGAAAGAAAACGGACATGCAGCAGAATAAAATCCTACTTTGATCCGAGCGTGGGATCTGATTGGGGCTCTCTCATGTCCATCTGCCTCGCCGGCATCTCATTGGCTCCGGGGAATCCGACTGGCTTCCTAAGAATTGGTGAGGATTCGAAGGTTGTCCGATTAGAGTTGTGGCGAGACACACACTCAGTGGCAGCAAGTACGAGGGTAAACACCTGGTGGTTCTGTGTGTGTGTGTCTGTGTGTGTTGGATGTGTGTGTGAAGTTCAAGGGTTTGTTAGTAGGTGCAGACAAGGGCAGGCACTGGGGATGGGTAACGGTGTCCATGCATGCACATAGTGCAGCAGAGGAGGACCTGGGAGGCGTCCTGCTCGTCTGAGGGACACGCTCATCCTACAGTTTCTCAGTGAACCAAAACAATCATGCTTCACACACAAAGACAGACAATACACTGATAATGAACACAATGGGAACAGACAAGCAGCGTGTGGTGGTTTTACCTCTCTGGGTCCAGCTCAGGATGGCCCTATGGTGCATACATGGTTGGTGATTTATGGATAAATAAGAGCTTTTTGTCATTTCCACAGCCAGAAAAGTAGCTCCTGACCACAAAACTCAGCCTTTTTTTTTTTTTAACTGCTGCATAAAACCTCACAATACTCCTAAGCAACATGAAGTGTCCAAGGTAACCGTGCGTTATGAGCAGTGAGGAAAGTTTTTACTTCAAGGACCAACATTAATAGCAAAAACCAAGGTTCGGGGGTTTATAAGTAATGTGGCACTCAGGGGAAATAAGAGATAAAATTGAAGACAGAAAAAAAACCTAACCAAAATATAGCAGGGTGTGGATAAAGCTGGGGTCTGAAGAACAAAGAGGCAAAGCTAGAGGAGGGAACACGGCACGTAATCTTTAAATCTGCTATTTTACGGCTGCCGGCAGTGGTTTCAACTCTCCTGGGGCGGAGATTGAGGTGCAACACTCTGAAATCAACTGGAAGCTGTCATTCATTCAGAGGATGTACAGAGACGATGCAGTTCTTCATCTTTGTGCTGCTTTAAAGTGGAAGATTTATTCCAGAATGAGGTTTTTTTAAGGCAATGGTCAAAGCAGTAGTGGCCAGCCAATCGTACATTACGTCATGTTGCAATATGCGGGGTGTCTGTGGCGAGCAGTTTTTTTCAGTTGTGGTGCAACAAAACAAATGTTTCCCCTTTCTGAGAGAAACTGAGCAGAAATGCACTCGCAATACTCAAATGTGGGATTCTGTATGTTTTTCACACTATATCATTAATATACAGACCATAGACTGTATATAAAAGATGGACGTAGCCATTCATTGGATGACACTTCTACTCGAGAGCTATCATCCAGGACAAATGAGTGTTTGAAGCCAGATGTTACGAGTGAGTGGCAGAGCTGACTTCTTTTCCACAAGCACCCACTCAGCTCAACTACACTCTACTGGACTCAGTTTTGGTCATTTTCCATTATAACTGAGTTCCACCTCAATGTGGCTGTGGTCACAACAAGACAACAATGGAGGACATCGTGGCGCCATCATTGGCGGGTTTGAGCAGTCACTCTTATGACTCATGCAGTGACGTCACTGCCTGGCCAATCAGTGGCATGCAGTCTGCTGGCGTCACATTTTCAGCTCAGCTCGCTCAGAAACCCGGCTGCATAGGTTATAAAAAAGTACCAGTCGAGTCAAGTAGGTGAATGATGCAGTGACTTGTCAATCACGTAGTAGGTCCGCCCACATCCTGCTTTATCCTGCATTTTGACTCGACTGGAGACCACACTAAACATGCGATGAGTCCATAAACTCATCAGAAAGGTGTGTTTTTAGGTCATAGATTCAAGTGAGTTTTCTAATAAACTTTTATAAAACCAGATTTCTTTTTGCAACCACATAAGTGGCTTTCTAAATGCTGGCATGGAGAAAAAATCCAGGATTAATGCGCTTCTGCTTTGACTTGACTTTTTAAGACCTACATCCAATTTTGGGGGGGAGAGACCACCAAAAATACATCAACAGACTCACAACGTAAGCTTATGGTGTGTGTGTGTGTGTTAAATTGTTCCTTTCTGGGTCCAGAAATTTCCAAAAACATGGCATCGAGTGTGCAGTCACCATGTTTAATTTAAGACAGATTTACCCTTTTGAACTTCATGCACCATATAAGTAAGTGAGAAGTTTACACCTACATGCTAGTTGAAGTACCCGAATTGAGTGCGTGTGAGTTACATATAAAGATAATCCGTCCTGTGGTACTTCTTCACAAACTTTTTAGGAAAATATATACAGACTTTCTAGGACAAAGGGTTGAGTATTTATACCAATTAATGCAAAGTATTTGTAGCAGGACAGCGTAAGCTCTGCAGAGCACGTGTAGCTGGGACCATAAGGTCTCAATGACACTGCAAACACAGGTGGCCCGCCCTCGGCTGGCAGCAGCAGCAGCGTGGAGTCTGAGCTGGATGGAGGCGCCGAACCATCAACGCGTTTGCCAGAGGACGTGCACTCCAACAGAGCAACAGGGAGCAAAAAAGACAAAGACACCTGAACAGGTCACCCTGCACCATTGATCAGAGCCTCCACAGCCGGCTGGGCTGCTGTGGGGGTTGAGGCCCCGATGCAGTGCAACATTTCCCCTGACCAGTTCGACAAGCCTGCTAAATTATAAGTGGATCAATCGTGCTGCACGTAGCAGGAGAATGAAACAGAGGTCCACAGAGTGTGCATATTGATCCCCTTTCTAATGACCAAACCTGGCATTCACTCGTCTCCTTGTAGTCATGAAGCTACTCTGTGGGCCTCTGTGTGTGTGTGTGTGTGCGTGTGTGTGTTTGTGTGTGTGTAGCCTTGAACTTTTCTGGACATTTCTTGGAAGGATCTGTATGTGAGATCATAAATGTCTGAATCATTCGGACGTGGGGCGATCTGCGCTAACTCACTAACGGAGATTTGCTGCGTTAATGCGGTTGTGGTGTTAAATGTATGAAATGTATAGTGTGAAATGTATAGTTTTCAGGGTTTTTATCGGTTTTCAGCGTTATTTTGTTATCGTTTACTCGGTTTTCCTTGGTCTTTTCACATGTGTTATGAA